GGCATCGCCATCACGACCCATGTGCTGATGGGCAGCGCGTGCACACCCACGCACGATTCAAGTTGTGACTCATCCGACTGGCTACTTCGACTGGGTCAACGTCCCCAGCATCCTACAATCTCGCCAATCAACGTGTAGCCGAAGACCAGCAACGCACACACACACACACATCTCTCTCTCCCTCTCTCTGGCACTGTCTCGCGCTCTCTCTCTCTCTCTCTCTTTGTTTCTCTTTCTCTATCTCTCTCTCTCTCTCTCGCTCGCCCCTCGAACATTCGACTCGGCTCGACTCGCGCCCTGCACAATCAGACTGGCCCCAACCAAGGGGAGGGCGGCGCACTATGCGAAGGCAGGCGGGCCCGCTTGCGGGAACGAGGATCAATTTTAGCAGCGCAAAGAGAAGTGGCCAGGGCAGCCGCACGGAGCCAAGGGGAACACCAGTCAGATATAAGCTACTCGCCCCCGTCATTATGCTGCAGCGCAGAAGACGAATTCGTCGATACCTAAGACAAATACCAGGGAAGGCACCCACCTGGATGGCTGGAAGCCTGCGTCGGCACGACCAGCCGCGTGGGACGACGTCGCATGCGTCGCGAAAGTGTCACATTGCATCGCGGTGTGCAGGCAAATGTGAAACTTGTGTGCAGGCAGATATGGCTTAGCCACCAACACGTAGCCCAGCCTGCACTACGACAAACAAGAACACTACACGCTGGCAACCAGTAGGCAACTTGCGAAGTTCGTGCTGTGTTGACCCGTTGCCTCTTGAGTGTGCAATGTAGTTTCCACCGCCGCGCCGTAGGCACTGATTGGAGTCGACGCACGCCTCCGGGTTCCAGAGGCCGCAGTGGGAGGACGCAAGCAAGGAAGATGACCAAGACGAGGGAAAAGAAATGGTCGGCTTTCCAAAACAATCTCCCAAACCGACGCAGTCGATGCTGAAAGGCGAAGGAAAGGAGGGGGAGGAGGAAGACGACGACGAACACGAAGGTTAGGGAGGTGGCTGTCGCAGCTGGCTAGCGCCCCCACAGCCTGCCGCACGAAAGGACGCCATACCTGCATTCTCGACAGTGCTGCACGGGCGAACGGCTAAAGGAAGAGGCGTGAAGACAGCCTCCCAGAAAGGGAAAGGCCGTGCATCAACACCACCACCTGGAGGGTGGAGGCAGAGGCCTGCGGGTGGGTGTACACAAGCTTCGGGCGCTCTCGCGGACCATCCTGCACCTGCGACCCGCAGGTCAGCTCGTCCAACACACGCACACACAGGAGGAGGTGGTGGCGCGCTCACTTCTTCCCTTGCGAGACGGGGCTTTCTCCATAACCGCCGCCTGTCGGATCGATGTTTGGGGACCTCCGCAAGCGGTGGGCATGAGTATGTTTGGGCACTCCAAATCATATACTTGAGCAGAGAACGGCCGTCCCGGCATTCCCATAGTTCTACCACGAAATGCTCTTAAATGTTCAACCAAGAAACACAATATTCCTAGAACATCAAGACTGCCTCAACTCGAAATGTTCTGAGAGCATTCCGTATAAACCACGACAGGGTCTGAGCACATTCTTTGCTGGACCTTCAGGCAAGCCAAGGCGCCTCGCCACTGCTTGGTACACACCGCCTGCCGAGGTCTTCGAATATCGATCAAACAGGGGGCGGGTATGGATACATTTATGTTGCTCCCATCGTATTTACAAACCACATCCCAAAAACAATTTCGAGCATCCGGAAAAATGTCGAAACAGCATCGAAACAGTGTCGGACGAGTATCTCCCAGGGCCGGACACGTGAAAACCCTTCAGTTTCGGTATTTTTCTGGTGCTCGAAATTCTTTCTGGTGATCAAGGCTAAAGTACGTTGGAACATCACAAGGATAGATCCCCGCATGGGTCCCCAGTCCTGAGGGCCCCTGGCCGCCCTCCCCCCATTGAGAAGCAATGCTAGGGTTCAGTCGGGCGTGTCCCCCTACAGGGAGAGACTTTCGACGAAAAATAAGAAATACTTGAAAAATACTCCCAGATGGTCAAAATATATATATTTTTTAAAAAATAGTCCCCAGACTATTTTGGGACTATTTTTGGAGTATTTTTGATTCTTCGTCGAAAACCCCCCTGTAGGGGGACACGCCCGACTTTCTGCTAGGGGGAGGGCCTGCCTCGAGAGGGGGGGGGGGGGAACATCGAGCTGGAACCGGCGACCCAACGCAGGCAGGTCGGCGATCGGCCACCGAGGGCGAGTGCGCACGGACCTGGGCGGGATGAGCTATCGGGCCCCCATCTGCGCTGAATGGGCGCTGCTTGGGGGTCGATGCACCTCCCCCCCCGGGTCGCAAAGGGGTGTGATAGAAAGGGGTGCGGCGCCAATGCTGAAAATGGCGATGACATCTACGATGGCCTCAAGTGAGTGCGATGCAACCCGATTTCAACAACGCTGGCTTCGCGACGACCGCTTCAAGAAAGCCCGATCCATGACGTCGTATCGCCAATCACGCGATTCTGGACATTCTGGAATTTCCTGAATTCATTTTTCTGCGGTTCCAAAATTTCCGGAACGTCATTGTGTAATTTCCGAACTTATGGTTGGCATTGAAACAATACTATTTCTAAATGCTGGAATTTCCGGAACTACGATTGGGGCGATACGGAAATTCCGGAATTACACGTTTCGCGATTTGGAATTTCCGAAATTCCGTTCTTGGTGATCGGGCGTCTGGGAACAGGTGTGGTGCTGCCGTTCACACAAGGCTGCGGTCGTTTGGGGAAATTGAAATCACGAGCTCTGACGTTGCTTGAGGCGGCCCGCGCCAAGCCAACATTGTGGATTTGGGGATGCACGACACTCGCAGCTGTCGTAGACAACATCGCCACTTTCAACATTGGCACCGCACCCCTTTTATACCGCATCCCTTCCTCGGGGATCTTCTGACCCGGGTCAATTCAGACCCGGGTCAGCAAGACACCAAACACTGCAATGCAGGAAAAACAATGCAACGCAGGGTTTCGCAAACCCGGGTCGGCCAATAGGCGCGGCCGCCCTCGCGGCCACGAGCGGCTCGCTAATCCGGGTCAGCCAGAGGGGGCCTTCCCAGGATCCTGCAGGATCTGGTGCCCTGGCTGACCTCCGTTTTTGAGCAGGGACCGACCATCCCGGCATTCCTATAGTCATACCACGAAATGTTCATAGAACCAAAAATTCTTCTAAGAACGAAAACAATGTTCTTAGAACATAAACCCGATGCGTTAAAACAAGACAGTCCCAGCCAGAAATGTTCCAAAAACATTTCGTGGAAACCACAACTGGTTCTTAGAACATTGTTCGGTGGGGCTATAGGCGAGCCAAGACGCTTCGCCACTGCTTGAAGAGGGGGTCTTCGCAGGATCCTGCAGGATCCGGTGCCCTGGCTGACCCCCGTTTGCATTCACCCCCGTCTCTAGAGGCCTCCTAGATGGGGTCCGAGTAGATGGGGTCGGAGGATCTCGCCGCGTCGCCGATACATCGGCGATGCATCGCCGATGTATCGTCGATGCATCGGCAACGTCGGCGACGCATCGGCGACGTCGGCATGGAGAAAATCGGGCTCCACATCGAGCCGCATCGCCGATGCATCGGCGATGCGGCGCGATCCTCCGACCCCATCTACTCGGACCCCATCGAGGAGGCCTAGTCGTCTCAAGGCGCCCGACTCCCTAACGCAGCCAATGGCCCGGCCCCCCCCCTGGTGCCGCAGGAAGCCTTTCTGGCGAGCTGCCGCACGGGTGGCCGACGCCCGCCTGCCCGCGCGACTGCGCCCCCAGCAGCCTGCCCGCGCCAGCCTCGCCGGAGGCAGAGAATGGGGGGCGGGGGGGCGAAGCGAGGGGAGGGGAGGGGAGGGGAGGGCAGGGAGGGGGGGAGGGCAGGGATGCGAGGCGTGGATTCATCCAGGACTACACCTGGGTCATCACCTCTGGGGACGTCGGCAGGCGGTGGATATGGACATATCTGCCCACCCCCCCACCCTCAGACAGGGCCCGAATAGATCCATGTATTCAACGCCTGCCGAGGTCCCCGAATGTCGATCCCTCAGGCGGTGGTTACGGGTAAATCCCCGCCTCGGATGCGAACCTTGTGGCAGAAGCTGCAGCCCCGGGGGCGACTGCGTTAGAGCCAGACTGTGGGCCTAAACTTGTCATCGCTCGGACGTCCATTCCCCGTGCACGTTTCGCTTTCGTGCGTGACTTTTTGTCCGATACTCCAGGATGCTCCACGATGGTCCTTGCCCCACCCCGAAAATTCACACGTCCGAGCGATGCCAAGTAAAGCCGAGTCTGGTCTGGATCCGAGTCAGCGTCTGGATACCGGTAGCTGTCTAAAGGTGGGCCACTGGCGGTCAGAATCGAAGGTTTATGTCGGGCGTGTCCCCCTACAGGGGGATTTTTGATGAAAACTTGTTTTTTAGTACCCCAAACAGGCAAAAAAAAAGTGCCCAGGCTATTTTGGGATTATTTTTAGGGGGACAGGCCCGACTTAATCGAAGGTTGAGGGTGAATGTGGGTCAGCCTTCGTCCCCGTTGCGGGTCTGCGTGATCCCTCCTCGCCATCCATGCCCGGATGGCTTGCTGCTGGTGGCGCGCGCGGAGCCTGCGACCATTCCCCTGAGGGTCCGCCCGCGCGCGTACCAGGTCCGACCTTCCTCCGTCTCGACGCTGCGCGCGAGGCCGCGACCGCCAGAGGATTGTGGGTTGGTCGTCATCCTCCTCCAGGCCGTACTGCATTCTTTGAGGAGGGCGGAGGAGCGAGGAGCGCGGAAGGTTTTTTGTTTTTCATGTTTGTTGTTTTGCATTTGTTTACCGAAGGATGCTCTTTGACCGAAGTCAGGCGTTGCGTGCTTCATGCTACCCGGGAGGCGCCAGAGGCGCCCTTACTCGATCCGCGTGCCTGAAGGACCTAAGCGAGCAGGTGCGACCTCACAGGGAGCAACATCCCTGGGGCACGCTGATAACTGCGGGGCTCGGTCGTCGGAGAGTGAGAGAGAGGCATAGAAAAACGTACGTACATAAACAAAGAGAGAGAAAGGAGCTTGTTGAGAAGGGGAAGAGGGACCAGCAAGTACCGTCACTGCCCCGAGGGGGCGCAGCCTAAACGGGGGCAGGGTTCTGCCACCCTCTCTGAGGGCCCACTGCCTTCCAGTAGTCGGCATCTCGTTGACCGCACACAGACAGCCACAACCGTGTGCCAAGCACCACGCCCGCACTCGGGCCATCGAGCGATGGACGCTGGGCGCTGGGAAGCATCCGAAAGGGAGGGGTGATGGGCTTGTTTTCCGCCACCACCACCATAAGCAGGAGGGGGAGGGGGTCCTCCTCCTCCTCCTCCTCCTCCTCCTCCTCCTCCTCCTCCTCCTCCTCCTCCGCTCCCTCGCTCGCTCCCGGCGGCCCCGCCTGCGAGCCCGCGCGGAGCACCTCCCCCCCCCCCCCCCCGCAGGAGTGGCGCGGCCTCCGCCGGCCTCCCCCTCCGAGAGGGCGTGGGCCCCCCTCTGCTTTTTGAGTCGGGCCTGCCCCTCGACAGGAGGAATCTCCAAGAAGAGCCACAGAAAATAGTCTGGGGACGGTTTTCGGTGTATTTTTTGGCCATGGTCGCTTCTTGTTTGCGTACGTTTTGTTGTTCTGTTCGTCCAGGATCGGCCTGTAGGGGGACAGGCCCAGAATGGGAGTGATGCAGAAGGAGGAGGAGGAGGAGAAGGAGGAAGAGCAGGACGAGGAGGAGGAGGAGGAATAGGAGGAGAAGGAGGAGGAGGAGAAAGGCGGAATGAAAGAGGGGGAGCCAGGTAGGAGGAGGCGGAGGAGGAGGAGGAGGAGGAGGAGGGGGAGGAGGAGGAGGAGGAGGAGGAGGAGGAGGAGGAGGAGGAGGAGGAGGGAGGAGGAGGAGGAGGGAGGAGGAGGAGGGGGAGGAGGAGAGGGGAGGAGGAGGGGGCAGGAGGAGGAGGAGGAGGAGGAGGAGGAGGAGGAGGCGGAGGAGGAGGAGGAGGAGGAGGGGGGGGAGGAGGAAGAAGAGGAGGAGGGGGGAGGAGCCACGAGGCGGAGGACGATGACGAGCAGGGGCTGCGCCTGCCACTCTCCCAGATTTGCGGCGCGCGGCGGCTCCGGCGCAGGGCGGGGCCGGCGGAGGGCCCCCCCCCAAGATCCCCCCCGGGCATGGCCGCCTGGCCACCCCCTTTGATGGCTGTTTCCACCACACCACGATGCGACGGGAGGGGGCACGGTGGAGGAGGAGGATGGGGAGGAGAGGAGGAGGCGGATGAGGAGGAGGCGAAGAGGAGCGGCGGGGAGGAGGAGGGGGAGTGAGGAGGAGGAGGAGGAGGAGGAGGAGGAGGAGGAATAGAGGAGGGGGAGGAGGAGGAGAGGGCGCTGGAGGAGGAGGAGGAGAGGACGGAGGAGAAGGAATATGAGAGAGAGCGTGACCACCCGCCGCTTTATTGTTTTTTTGTCGGGGAAAAAAAAAGAAAATTGCCGCCCTTTTCCTCCGGAACCCGGGGGTCCCCCACCATCCCCTCCGAAAATCCCCCCCCTTGCTGGAACCCCTCCCCCCCCCCCCTTCCCCCGGCAAAACCCTTCCCCTCCCCTAACCCCCCCCCCCTCTCCCCTCGAGCTCGAAAACCGGGGGGGGTCACTACCGGTTCGAACCCCCCCCCCTCCTCGAAAACCGGAGGGGGGGGTCACTACCGGTTCGAACCACTGAGCTGTCCCACTGTTCCCACCACTGTCCCCACTGTCCCTACCACTGTCCCCACTGTACCTCTGTCCCATTGTCCCACCGCCGTCCTCGCCACCGCCTTCACCACTGTCCCCACCACCACTGTACCCTCCACTGTCCTACTGTTTCCACCACATTCCCACTGTCCCCACACCACTGTCCCCACCACCACCACCGTCCCCACCACAGTCCAGTGTCCCCACTGTTCCCACCATTGTCCTCACCATTGTCCCCACCACTACCGTCCCCACCACTGTCCCACTGTCCCCACCACTGTCCCGCTGTCCCCTCACCACTGTCCCCACCACCACCGTCCCCACCACTGTCCGCACCCCCCCCTCGGTTTTCGAGGGGGGGGGGGGTTCGAACCGGTAGTGACCCCCCCGGTTTTCGAGCTGGGGGGGGGGGGGGTTCAACCGGTAGTGGATGAAATGGGAGGGGGGGGGAGGGGTTCGAACCGGTAATGACCCCCTGGTTTTCCGGAGGGGGGGGGGGGAGGGGTTCGAACCGGTAGTGACACCCCCCGGTTTTCCGCTAGCAGCGGTAGAACACGCTCTTTCGAATATGAGGAGAGGGAGGAGGAGGGGGAGGGGGAGGAGGAGGAGGAGGAGGAGGAGGAGGAGGAGGAGGAGGAGGAGGAGGAGGAGGAGGAGGAGGAGGAGGAGGAGCCCCTGGCCATCGCTCGGACGTACATTCCCTGTGCTTTTTGTTGCGGTCTCGCGCGTGTTTTTTTTCGCTGGATGATCCAGGATGCTCCTTAAGAATCCCCGCCGAGGAAAAAGTGCACACGTCCGAGCGATACCAGGCCCCCTGGCGGGGCAGGGGTGCATGCGCAGTCTGGCGGCGCACGGGAGTCGGGTCTGTCAGGGGAGGCCAACAGCGGTGCCGCGGAGCATCTCGGACGTGCTGGCGGCACGACTGACAGACCAACAAACAGCTCACTGCCCGCTGTTGAAGCATTCTGGGCGGCACGGAGGAAACGAAAACGGGAGGGGGGGAGGAACGACCCGAATCCGAATCCAACTCATGGGGACTGGCCTGACCATCTCAACAACCACTCGTGGACGACAGCTTACAATATCATGCTGACTTTGAGGGGTCCTATTCGACCACGCACGCTGCGAAAAGCTAGTACTGTCGGATCGGGGCCGCGCTGACCAAATCAAAGGCACCCCTTTGGGAACTTTCGAGCCAGGGAAGGACCGACACTGACGCGAACCGAACTGGCGGTCCAGCGGGCCCAGCACTGGGAAGCAACGCGAGCGGGTCGGGAAGGGGAATGGTCCAGGTGGCGGCGTTGGACAACATGATGGGTCATAGAAACTCTGTGTGTGCCTGATACAACTATGTGTCCCACGCTGCTCCGCGAATGCATGCCTTGCACCACATCCGCCCATCGAGAATCGCGCCCATGATCTGCTACAGCTGGTAACGATATACAACGCTCCTGCCGAATTATTGGCTGTCCAATGTGTCGTCGACTGACGGGGGGGATTGGTAGGAACAAGAATCCAGTGACGGAGGGCAACCCAAGTCCTCACAGCAACGCGAACTGGCAGGGGGAGTTAAGAAGTTGAGACTGTCCAGCGCGGCGGCGCGGGCCTTGAAGAGGGACAAATAGGATGAGGAGGGGGAGGAAGAGGAGGAGGAGGGGGAGGAGGTGAACAAGGAAGATATACGGATTTACGGATGTTGCGACTATGCCGGTTACTACTTGCTATTGAGCCTCGCGTCTGGCCTTCTCGGCTGTGCTGAAAGCCTTAGGCCAAACCCCCTTTGCATATTACCATGGTAATGCTTGCGACTACCTGTGGTTCCGTGTGGCGGACATGCTCCCCCGAGCTTGGCCAACAACTGGGCCGCAAAACTTCCACATGTCGCACAGAACCAGATCCCCAGCCGAGCGTGAAACCTTAAAACGGTGGCTTAGGTGTGCAAATGCCCCACAGATGTGACCCGACGTCTTTGGGGAGGCTCAAACAAATTATCATCGATTCTCCTCAGGTCGAAGCATGGGGTCTTCAACCATTCACGCCTCTTGTCAATCGTAGTGGAACACCTACAGCGCGTACAACAACGACCGCTTTCGGACAACACATGCTGGGTGTCAAAAGTTTTACAAACCAACGGCGCAGGAGGCCTGGGTCCAGGGTGCTTGACGCGGGCTCGGGGTGCCTCGGCAGCATGAGTCCAGACTTCGGGCCTCTAACATGTACAAGAAAATTCGCATGCTGACGGCATGCGCCATCGTCTCATTCTGGAAAACTCTAACCCTAACGTGCTCTGGAAGACGGATTGAGGCTGCTGCCACCCCTGCTACACTATCCGCCGCTGTGTTGCCAGCGACCAACAAGCGAGGGGGCTTACCGTGCAGACGTCAACGGCATCTGGGTGGTAGTGTACAAATAAACCCGTGCAGCTCAGAGGGGGCTTGCGACGCAAAACCTACCCTGTCAGAGGCCAAGCGTCGGCGTTCTCTCCCTCCTGGAGAGAAGATCTGCCGACCTGCCAATCTGAGCGCACGTTGGCGTGGTCTGAGATAGAAGCTACCACTCCGTCTGGACTGGTCACAGCTGGAGAAAACGAACAACTTCCCTCTCGCGACTGTCTGCTGAGGGCCTGGAGGACCCCACGCGCGGCGACAGCCACCTGCGTACTCAAACCAAGCTCACTATGCCGGACGAATCCTGTGCCTACCCGTCGCGTTTTGGGGGGACGCTCGCGTCTTCGCCCCCGCGAGGGTCTCCGAGAAGATACGACGGAGCTTCGCTACTTCCAACTTCGCTATGTCCGTCCCAAGAGCTTCGCTGCTCGCGGCCCTGGGCGGATAGACAACCTGGCCTTGGATGGCATCCACGCCGTGGTTCCTTTCGCGCACGTAGGCGTCCCAACTATCTCTGGCCCCTGCAAGACTCTGGCGGGCCCTCACTTTGCGCGCAGTACACCCGGCATAACAACTCCAACACAACTGCGCCACCCCAGAAGTGGGGCCTCCTGGCCGAACACTGCTCCGACCAAGGGAGGTCGTGAAAGTCAGCGCAGTCCTGGCGATCCAGAAAAGGATCACATGGGCCACTGAGCCGTTGCTGAGCGATGAAATGTCAATGAAACTCCGCGGCCTGCGGAGTCTGACGGCCCGGGGCCCGCGCAGGCCCTCTAACGCGGACAGTCGCGACCGCTGCCAGAGCGAGAGGGCCCGAGCAGCGCAATTCGATTCGGGAACCGCGTGTCGCGAGCAAGACCTGCCCCCCAAGGATGCCCCCTGTGAGCGCGTCATCTATCGTCGCACCGTCGGGCGGCTCCAGAAGCCATTCGATGTGGATGCCCCCCCTCCGGTTTCAGAGGGCGAGTGAACTCGTCAGCGGGATGTGAATAATAATTATTTGAGTAATCGCCGAAGAGCGCGAGAAATGCGCGCGCTTCCTCCGCGCGCCACACCACCTCCTGCATGACCAACTCCATCCCTCCTCCTCCGCAGCCGAACATCGCCACAGACGGCGCCCTAACGTGTCGGGAAGCGCTGAAGCACAGCGGGCACAGGATGTCAACCAGCAGGCGACCCGAAACGGCAGCGCGATGTTTTGTGTGTACGGCGTTTCGGCAGAGGGCCCAGGCACAACCTTTCTGGAAGGGAGCGAGTCAAGAGCTCTTCGACCACTGCAACACGCTGCCCACGCAAGCCCTACCATTTAGGTTAAGTTCTGCTCCAAGATCCAACTCGAATCCCCCAGCACCGCGCTTAAGGAGTCTTGTGAGGACCTGGGGGGATCCCCAGTAAGCACAAGCCGATCAGCTTGTCACAAGAGAGACAAACGACCCCACGCTCTAAGATAAGATACGCGTTCACAAAATTACCCCAGGCAGGGGCTAGCGCTTGGCACCAGCCACCCAGACATCCCTGAGTTCCATTAGAGGAATGGCGTGAGTGCGCAGCTGATGGTGCGAGATCCAAACCTCTTTGGCCCAACGAATGATAGGAGCGACGGAAGCGAACCAGCACGGCTCGTGATGATACATCCACAAACGGGTAAGACACTTGCCCGTGGCCGAGGGCTGCATCAATGACGCAGCTTGTCTTCTGAACCTACGCAACTCCGAATCAGCAGCCCGGTGAATGTCAACACTTCACGCGACGCTCGCCATGGACCCCGAAGCGACAAACCCGGTAAACCTTCCACCAACAGTGCCTCTGATCCCAGGCAGACTCGCGCAAACCTCCCTAGACTTGACCTATCTGGCCGCTGGCATCCGCCTTGCTAGACCTTCCGGGCCTGCGGCGTGACTTGCCAGCAGCGCCCTCAACGCATACGCTGGCAGCAAACGAAACTAGCGGCCCAGCTACGCCTTTGCCCGAGGACCTGGAGGAGAAATTGATATATCTCTTCTCGGGATCAGGCGAAACAATCGCCGACCCCCTCCGTGAGAACGTCATGTAAGCCTTCAACAGCAGGGGGAGGTGAGCAATCATGTCGTCAGCAGACCCCGTCGCCGAGAGGCCAAGATCGCCAATGCGTAACACGAAGTGAACCTGAGCCGGCACAGAGGACAATCCAGGGCATCAATCGCAGAAGCTCGAATCAGCGTCGTGGCGAAACTGCACCCCGCCACGGTGCCCCTGGCAGCCCGAGGAGGGCTGTCCACAAAACAAGAGAGCCCGAACCATCTGCACTGCAGAGCCAGGCACGCCGCGACTCTGGCCTGCGCCATGGGGAACCTTGAATACTTCACAGCGGTGCGTCCATTCCTCCAGATCTGCGGCCTCATGATACCCGAACAACTCCACAGAGACGGCTGCGACTTCTCCCGGGTCGTTCTCGCCGAACTCAGCTCGCAGAGCTCGTCTCCAGACCACGTCGTGGGCTCTTTCGATGACGGGGCCCGCCGCCAAAAAAGCTCCCTGACGCGACGGCGTTCCCACTGCTGGCGCAGAGGGCCGTGGACACGGCCGTGAGCCCTGTGAAAGGAGCCGACAATTCCAATAGGTCTGGATCCCGACGTGCCAGTGTGAATTCACGTGCGCAGCAAAAATCGCACAATGCTGCGGCGAAGGCGAGGACGACTCAATCGCAGAAGCATGATCACCCGGCCCTCTAAGGTATGATCGCTCATCAGATGGAACCCATCTGGCGCGACCAGCATTTTGAAACCATTGGGAAGAAGGCCCGAACAACACATAGAAACCACAGGGGAATCACTCTGAACCCCATCGCGAACGAACCAAGATTGAAAACGCCCGCCCCGCACAGAGAAGCGAACTTGCGGCACTCTGTCTGCAGCATAAACGATGGGTCCAAAACATATTCTCCCTCCAAAGACAAGGTGGTGGTAGGCATCCACTTGGTGGCGCCCTTGGCCACTATGTGCACTCTCCTGGCGCCTCTGTCGGCCCGGTGCATGATTCACTCCCTAAAAACCTGTAGCACTTTTCTTTCTCGCCTAAGACTCCACCACGCCACAGGCAACGTTAAACACTTCATGGAAGATCGCGAAACGCGCCAGCCAAAAATCGCATGCCTCTTCGCACGTCAGAAGCTCAAGGATGAACGCCTTAAGCTGCTCAAGAGAAACAGTCTGGGGCCCGAAGGAGGAGACCCTCTGAGGAGGCTGCTGCAGTGCGTGCAAAAACCGTGCTCATGCCCTTCTCGCCCGCAGCCCTCCAGGAGCAAAGGAAGGAGGAGGAGGAGACGGAGGAGGAGGAGGGGAAAGGAGGAGGGGAAACGATGATGGTGATGATGATGATGATGATGATGATGATGATGATGATGATGATGATGATGATGATGATGATGATGATGATGATGATGATGACGACACGCCCTTTAACACGGGTTCCCGAGATCCACACGACTCAGAAGCGCCACCACCAGCCGTCACATCGACAGTAGGTGAGAAGGAAAAGAGATCAGGCGAAAAGGGAAACAAATAGCAAAGAGAAGAACCCAGAATGGTAAGCTGAACCCGGTTTGTGACTTGAGCCCTCCAGGCGGTGTTCACTCTTGAGAGGAGGAGGAGGAGGAGGAGGAGGAGGAGGAGGAGGAGGAGGAGGAGGAGGAGGAGGAGGAGGAGGAGAACGAGGAGGAGGAAGGAGGAGAGTGACCAGGGGCGGGCCAGGGAGGCATGCCCAGGGAGGTCCGCGCCTCTCAGGCTCGGCTGCAGGACGGGGCGAGCCTCCTGCCAGCGGGGCATAGAGAGACTGCAGCAGGGACCCGCCGCCCCCGCCTGCTGGCGCTGAAGCTGCCATTCGCGCTCCATCCTTCCATCCTCCTCCTCCTCCTCCTTCCATCCCTCCTCCTCCTCCTCCTGCTGCTCCTGCAGTTCCTCTCTCTCTCTCTCGGCAACGCTGGCGCGCCCCTGGCTTCCATCCCGCAGCCCTAGCTCGACGCCGGCGCACGCGCAAACGTCCGCGGACGCTGTGCTAGACTCTACTAGACCACCACTGCCCGAGGATGAGGAAGGGAGGAGGAGGAGGAGGAGGAGGAGGAGGAAGAGAAGGAGGAGGAGAAGGGGCGAAAACGAGGTCGAGTTTACGACAAGAAGTCATAAGAGAACTCATCGGAAATTCGCTGTTCCTACACTCAGCCTCTTTCCTGCTGCGTTGTTGCACAAGTACGGTGGCGGAGCTTGCTGCGGGCAACCGGATATGGAAACTGCTGTTTCTGCTCCGCCCCCCCTCCTCCATGTCTGTCCTGATGCTGTCCGTTGCAGCGCCAGCAGCAACCGAGCGGGACGAGCAAGAAACATCGAAAGCTCCCCCCGCCCCTCGCGAGCTCCCGGGGGGGGGGGTATCCCGCGGGCGGCTGCCCTGGGCCCGGTCTGCGCCCAGGAGGGGGAGAGAACACATCGGATCGATCGCCACCGGTGGAGGAGGAGGAGGAGGAGGAGGAGGAGGAGGAACAGTTGCCCATGGGGATGCGCAATCGACCCGATCGACGTCACGCGCAGACAACGGCACGCACCATCGAGCTGATCGAATCGAAGGAAGCCCTGGGCTCCGTCGGGTGCCACTGCCTCCGAGAGCACCGACCGAAGGGGGCGCCGCAAAGTGCGCCGTGCAGAAGTGGCCCTCCAAGGCTGACACCCACTACGCCCGCGGGGCTTGCTTGCTACCCGTCACTCTGCGCGAAGCTCCATCGGCGTCTGGGGATGCGCCCGAGGCATCTCCTTGATTTGTGCTCGAGACGCTGGTGCGCTACCCAGTCTGTAGGCCCTGCAGGCAAGACCAAAACATGTTGTCTGCAATGTGTGATGTCGCGCCAACTGGACCCCCATCTGAAACGGAAGCGCTTTGCCATCACAAGATCATAACACATCTCGTGGGCGCAACGTATGCACGTCTTTCGATGCCGCCGCTCAACAGGCATCATCTGCCTGCGATGCCTCAACCCATCAACATTAGCCTGGCGAAAGACCTAACCATGTGCAGTTGTGGTTGCCGCGGATGTGAGTATCGATTTCGTTGGCGCTCCTTGTGGGACCACGAATCGTGTGAGGTGGGTGCCGAACTACTAAGGCAAGGGCGGCGGCGGCGGCGGCGACCGCGAGCCTGGGTCGCGAAACGTGTGAAAAGTGTGCTGGCATGGGCGGCGGGGACGCATGTGGGCACCGCCACTGGGGCCTTCGGTGGAGCTCCCTCTGGGGCCACGAAGCGTGTGGGGGGTGTGCCGACATGGGTTGCGCGGACGCATGTGGGCGCCGCCACTGGGGCTTTCGTTGGAGCTCCCTCGGGGCCACGGAACGTGCGAGGGACGCACGTGGGCACCGCCGCTGGGGCCGTGTGAGGGGTGTGCCGAAATGGGTGGCGGGGGCGCATGCGGGCACCGCCACTGGGGCCCACGGTCGAGATCCCTATGTGGCCACGAAACGCATGAGGGGTGTGCCGACATGGGTTGCGGGGGCGCACGTGGGCACCACCACTGGGGCCGTCGGTGGAGCTCTCTGTGGGGCCACGAAGCGTATGAGGGATGTGCCGCAATGGGTGGTGGGGACGCATGTGGGCACCGCCGCTGGAGCCTTCGGTGGAACTCCCTGTGGGGCCACGAAACGTGTGGTGTGTGTGTGCCGAAATGGGTGGCGATGATGCAGGTATTGGGGTTTTCGGTGGAGTTCCCTATGAGACCACGAAGCGTGTGAGAGGTGTGACGAAATTGGTGGCGGCGACGCGTGTGGGAATCGTCACTGGAACTTTCGGTGGAGCTCCTGTGGGGCCACGAAACGTGCGAGGGGTGTGACGATATTGGTGTCGGGGACGCTTGTGGGCACCACCGCTGGGGCCGTTGGTGCAACTCTCTATGGGGCCACGAAGCGTGTGAATGGTGTGCCGACATGGGTGGCGTGGACGCATTGTGCACCGCCACTGCTGCCTTCGGTGGGACTCCCTATCGGGCCACGACGCGTGCGGGGGGGGGGCCGGCACGCATGTGGGCATCGCCGCTGGGGCCTTCGGCGGAGTTCCTTCTGAAATCACGGAACGTACGAAGGACGCACGTGGGCAGCGCCACTGGGGCCGTCGGTGGAGCTGCCTATGGGGCCACGAAACGTGTGAAGGGTGTGCCGAAATGGGTGGCGGGGGCGCATGTGGGCACCGCAACTGGGGCCGTCGGTATAGTTCCCTGTGGGGCCACAAAACGTGTGAGGCGTGTGCAGACATGGGTGGCAAGTGGAGCGCCACGAAGCGTGTGGGGGGTGTGCCGACATGGGTGGCGCGGACGCATGATTGCACCGCCACTGGGGCCGTCGGTACAACCCTTTTTATGGGGCCACGGAGCGTGGGGGGTGTGCCGACATGGGTGGCGCGGACGCATGTGGGCACCGCAATTCGGGTTTTCGGTAGAGTTCCCTATGGGGCCACCAAGCGTTATGGGGGGTGTGCCGACACTGGGTGGCGCGGGCGCATGTGGGCATCGCCACTGGAGCGTTCGGTGGGGTTCCCTTGTGAGGCCATCAAACGTGCGAGAGGTGTGCCGACATTGGTGACGTGGACGCATGTGTGCACCGCCACTGGGGCCCTCGGTTGAACTCCCGATGCGGCCACAAAGCGTGTGACGGGTGCGCCACACTGGGTGGCGCGGACGCAGGTGGGCACCGCCACTGGGGCCTTCGATCGAATTCCTTATGGGCGAGGCCCCGAAACGTGTGGGGTGTGTGCCGCAGTGGGTGGCGGGGGCGCACGTGGGCAGCGCCATTGGGGCTTTCGGTGGACCTCCCTGTGGGGCCACGGAGTGTGTGAGGCGTGTGCTAAAATGGGTGGCGGGGACGCATGTGGACACCGCCATTGGGGCCTTTACGCGCCGCTCCCAATGGGGCAACGAAGCGTGTGGTGTGTGTGTGTGTGTGTGCCGAAATTGGCACCGCCGTTGGGGCCTTCGATGGAGCTCCCGATGCGGCCGCGAAGCGTGTGAATGCTGTGCCGAAAATGACGGGCACGCATGTGGGCTCCGCCACCGGGACCTTCGGTAGAGCTCCCCACGGGGCCACGATGCGTGTGAGGGATGTGCCGGAATGGGCGGCGGGGGCGCATGTGGGCACCGCCACTGGGGCATTCGGTAGAGCTCACTATGAAGCCATGAATCGTGTGAGGGGCGTGCCGAAACGCCAGGCGAACCCTGCCACTGGGGCCGTCGGTGGAATTCCATATTGAGACACGAAATGTGTGAGAGGTCCGAAATGGGCGATGACGCTGATAATGATGACGATGACAGTGAGTACGATCACGATGACGACGCCAACGACGATGATGATGGCGATGACGATGGCGATGATGACGATGCTGACGATGATGCTGATGCTGATGCTGCTGAAGATAACGATGGTGATGATGGTAATGATGATGCGGATGCGGATGCAGATGCTGCTGCTGATGACGCTGATGATGATGCTGCTGGCGGTGATGCTGCTGCTGCTGATCATGACGATGATGATACAAACCCCCTCTACGGTCCAGTGCGAGCCGACGCCCAACATTGCTATGCGCGGCCCGGCCCCGCCACCTCAGCCCTCCTCTTCCTGCGGCGGCAGCGGCGCAATGGCGAACAGGTTGGCCTCCGCCTCCGCGGAAACCACGGCAGCGCTGATGGCCGCCAGCATCGCCAGGCCCGGGGGCGGCGCTTGCAGGCCACGCGACACCCACGTGTGGTTGGCCGCATCCACGTCAATCTGGCGAGGGATGGCCAAGGCATCCTCCTCCAGGCGGCCGCCGATGCTCACTGCGAAGGCCGCGACGCGATCGCCATACCGCTTGCGCTTCGCCCGCTCCGCGGCGCGAGTCGCCAGGCGCACGTCCGCGGCTGCCGCTCGAGTCTCGCCGTCAGGGTAGGAATGCACCGTGACATCGAGCCACGTCCGCGTCGGGCCAGCCGGCCACCTCCAGCACACGTCCAAGATCGCCTCTTTGACGCCGCCGTCGCGGCCCGTCTGGTAGAGCTCCGGGATATGCGACTCGACTTCGACGATCGCGCTGGCCCTGCGGAGCGCCTCGGCGACTGTGATCTTGATGTCGTCGTGTCACCGCACCCGGAAGGAACCCACCATTCAACGGGCCGCATGCACGCCACTGATGTCCAACTGTCGCCCGCAAGGCTGCCCACACATCGGGCCACCGCGGTAGCAGTGAGCGCACGCCTGGCCGGGCTCCAGGGCAGGTGCCCCCAGGCGCCTTCCCGCAGCTGGCAGCCAACGGCGGTTGCCAATCCACGCTGTCGGGGGAGCTGGCGCCGCTGACCACCAAAGGCCTGCTCCTCTGCCGCCGCTGTCCAGCATGCCAGGTTGGCGGCGCGTTCCTGCGGCAGCGCGGCCGCGAGGTCGGCGGCCCGCAGCGCCGCCGGCCCTCGGCCCAGCCTCCCCGCGAGCTGGCGTCTGCCCCCGCCCCTCTCCACGTCCCCGACGTCGGCCCCCGGAGCGGAAGCGGCGAGGAGGGAGCGGCCGGGGTCCAGGGCGTGCACCCGCGCATCCTCCGCGCCGTGGGCAAAGGTGAAAAGCCCCTGGACGGGCACGTCCCCTCTCAACGGAGACGCGGCGTACCCGGCCGCCGCCCTCGGCTCCAGCTCGATCTGGCCGGCGTCCACCACCACGCCGCTCGCGGCGAGCACGTCCTTCGCCTCGAGCGCGGCGGGCCTGTCCGGGCCCGCCTGGAACGGTAGCCCGGCCAGCGAGGCCACGCGCTGAGCACCACATGCGGTTGCAATCCAGCTGCTCCAGGAGCCGGCTGCGCCGTCGTCGACGCGAGGCACGTTCAAGGCAAAACCCCCGAAGAAGACGGGGAGCGCGAGCCGCTCTGTCATCGCCGCCGAGAGCGTCGTGCCAAGGATTGCCGCAGCAGCGCTCGCGATCTCATCGTGGAAACGTCCCAACACCTGAACTCTGAACTGATAGCGCCCGCGGGGGGCACATGCGAATGTCATAATTCAGAAGATGGGAAATGCCGAACACTGAGATCGCCCATGCGACCTGCTGCGTGTCGTCGTGCGTGCAAGACCCCACGAAAGCCCGGAGCCTCTCGCACAGCCGCGCGGCCCTGGCAGCCCTGCCCTCCGCCGGCCCGACGCCGCACTGCTCCGCGTCTATGTCCAAGGCGTTGTCCTTCCTCAGTGCCGTGCCAAGGACGTGCATGCCGCCGCGCGACCGCCTCGTCGTCTCTCCTAGCAGGGCAGTCGCGCTGTCTGGCTCGCCCACGCCCCCGTCAAGGCCTGGGGGCCAACAGCCGCACTTAGAATCGGTAAGCGCTCGGCCGCCGGCGGCCGTGACTGATCTCAGCCGTGGCCACAATTGCACGATCGACGAGGCTGCCCCAGCCAAATACCAATCTTCTGCGATGCCTGTGGCCGCGAGGGCATCTCCTGGTGTCGCCGGCCTGTGGGCCGCGAAGACGCCGCGCACCATGCGCGCGGCGTGGAAGAGGAAGGCGAGCTGCATCGGCTGCGACACGGCGCCCCCTCCCCGCCAGCTCAGGACGCGCCTCCTCTCGTCCCCGACCTTCTGCCAGAACGCGTTGCACGCGTTCCCCCAGTGCACGAAGAGGAGGAGCGCGATAGCCGGCTCCGCGTTGAAGACGTCCTGCAAGACGACGCTCCAGAGCATTGCCCCGTGGGCGTTCTTCAAGCCGAGTTTGACACTGGCCTCTGGCGACTGCCCCGGCGCTGGGGACTCGAAGCGCCTCGCCAGGCCCCTCAGCGGTGGTGATGATGATGATGATGATGATGATGATGATGATGATGTTGATGGTGATGGTGATGGTGATGATGATGATGATGATGATGATGATGATGATGATGATGATGATGATGATGATGATGAATGCTGATGCTGATGCTGATGTGATGATGCTGATGCTGATGCTGATGCTGATGCTGATGCTGATGTGATGATGATGATGATGATGATGACGATGAGATGACGATGACGATGACGATGACGATGACGATGACGATGACGATGATATGATGATGATGATGATGATGATGATGATGATGTGATGATGAATGATGATGATGATGATGATGCTGATGATGATGATGATGATGATGATGATGATGATGATGATGATGATGATGATGATGCTGCTGCTGATGATGATAATGATGATGAGAGGAGAGAGGAGGAGGGAGGATGGGGAGGAGGAGGAGGATGAGAGGAGAGGAGAGGAGAGGAGAGGAGAGGAGAGGAGAGGAGAGGAGAGGAGAGGAGAGGAGGAGGAAGGAACGCGGGGCGCTGTCTCTTCAAAACGAGGACCCAACACCACAGGATGGTCGGGAACAAGAACTCACTGGCTCTGACACCCGCCAGCCCCGAGAAGGCCCCGACCGCTTCCCTGGGGGTGACTTTTCGCCCGGGGTCCGTCTTGGATGGTCCGGGGACCAGGCGGTGGCCCCCGAGGGCTGACATCGGACAGAAACCGCCAGCTGACAGAAACCAACTCGTCGGAGATCTGGGAATGCACCCGCAGCGCGTGTCGATGCGCTGTGGCCCCGAGTGGTCACCGCGGGACGCGCGGTGCGGACGCGCCGCCCCTGCGGAGGGAGGCGTGGGGCGCGGCGCGGGGGTCCTCCACTTCAGCAGCAGGGGCAAGAACTGGAAGGCCCAGATGCCGAGGGTGAGGCTCCAGAGGAGGCACGGGCCCAGCGTGTCGTACGCCCTGCCGATCGCGGCCGCGGGCCCCCCTCCGGGTGCCGATGGCGGAGGGCGGGGCGACATGGTCCGACGCGTGCGCTGCGGGGGTTCTCGATAGCGCCAGCGCCAGCTGGTGCCGGACGTTCAAAGGTGAGGCCCTGAGGGATGGGGCCCTGAGGATAGGAAAGGGACCCGAAAAGCCGAACATTCGCTGATTGAGGCCACTTGTCCTTCCGGGCCCACCCCTTAGGGGCCCATCTTCAGGCAATCACGCGTGAAACCTGGCCTGCAGGTCGGATTTTTCTGGAAGACCGGCCAGATCTCAGAACTTGAAGGACGTCTGCAGCCAGGTGACCTTCAGTGGGTGTCCCCGATACACCAGCGTCGAGTGGACCCGCAAGGGTTGAGTGCAGAGTTCGCAGGTGGTCGCAGAATCTTTAAACCGCCGACGCTGCAGGCACGGTGCCACGCGGGCAGGCCCGAGCCGTGCACCTCCAGGGCGCGCTACGAGCGCACGCCCCTACCATGCCGAGGAGGGCTCTACCACGCCGCCGTTGCAATGAGCACGCTGGCCCCCGCTCGAGCGGCCGACGACCAGTGACCACGATCCTCCCTGCGCCCCTGCCAGGGAGCGACGCAGAGTGACTGGCTGGGCCCCAGCCAGTCACCCCAGCCGCACCCCGATGCAGCACCCCAGCCGCTGGGGTGCTGCTCGCACCCCGATGCTCTCTCTGCGCACGCGGCGCGCGTGGCGCACCTGGAGCACGTGGCGCACCTGGGGCACGCCGCGCATCCGGCGCACCCCTCCTCCTCCTCCTCTCCTCCCTCCTCCTCCTCCCTCCTCCTCCTCCCCTCCTCTCCTCCCTCCTCCTCCTCCTCCTCCTCCTCCTCCCTCCTCCTCCTCCTCCTCCTCCTCCTCCTCCTCCTCCTCCTCCTCCTCCTCCTCCTCCTCCTCCTCCTCCTCACGCGCGGCGGACATGGCCGAGCGTGGCGCACCCGTCGGATGGCGCCGACTGCCTCTGCCGAGCCTCGGCGGCTCGCGAGGGGGTGCGGTGGCGCGCCCGGGGGGGAGCGCGGAGGGGCGCGGGCCTTCGCAGCAGACTCAGAGGGCCTCCGCCCTGCCGAGAAGCGCTCCAGGCCTGCATTGTCCGAAGCGTCGTCGCCTCCTCCGAAGGCCTGCCCCCCCTCACACTTCCCCCCCCTCGGCACGCAGCCGAGCGGTGGGAGGGGCAGGGCGGGCGTGGCTGAGACAGCCTGTGCCGTTCCCGCTGGGGGCTCGACTCCTCCCCCTGCCCCCCCTCCTGGGACGGGAGGTGGGGAGCCTGCGAGCGGTCAGAGTTTCCAAGATGGGCCAGGGCCTAGATGGCTCCCACCACGGCCGCAAGTAATCCAAGAGGGCCTCCAAGATGGCAGAGGATGGCCCAAGTTCATTCAACATTACCTCCAGCATGTCCCCAACATGCACCAGGACGCCCCAAGACTGCTCCACTGACCACGGAACCTCCCAGTGATGCCCCCTCGAGGCAATCAGCGATCAACACCTCAAACTTGCTAAACCATTTGAGACTTCTCGTCGTTTCTGTTATGATGGCATATGGTTTCTGACGCCTCATGACGGTTCCAAAAGTGCAGGGGGGGCCCTGAAAAGAAGGCACCAAAACGACGCCATCCAGAGCACCACAACAGTGCATCACGAGGACCCCCCAGAGGCGACTATTTGGAATCTGACGCGTCAGCAGAATGTTGACGACTCCTGGGTCCGAGCTGGACGGCCCAAAAGGGCCCTCCAGAGGGCCGATAGAGTCCCACAGGCCCCAAAACGGTCCCCAGACAATCCTCAGAGAACCCCAAGAAACCTCCAATGTTAACTTTCCGTGGCAAGGTCCGCAAGAGTCTTTCTGGTTGGTTCCCCACTTCCTATCTCGTCGCGCCTCGCCATTTTCACGAAACAATCAGGCATCAACCACACAGGCAGCCGCGGTGCCCCAACGAGGGGGCCACTGCAGCTCCATGGAACAGACACGGTGGGGAATGTGCAAGCAAAATGGCGACCGCCCCCCCCTTTGTGTGTGTGTGTGTGTGTGTGTGTGTGTGTGTGTGTGTGTGTGTGTGTGTGTGTGTGTGTGTGTGTGTGTGTGTGTGTGTGTGTGTGTGTGTGTGTGTGTGTGTGTGTGTGTGTGTGTGTGTGTGTGCGTGTGCGTGTGCGTGTGCGTGTGCGTGTGCGTGTGCGTGTGTGTGTGTCGCTGCATGTTCCTACACTTCCCTGGTCAGGGCAACTCGTCTGGGGATCATTTCTGGATGGGCGGCTGGGTATATTTTTTGGTCCGCGGGCGCGCGAAACGGGTCGAACGCCGAGCCTGCTACGGCGGTTGGGGATATCTTTAGTCAGCAGCCGCAAGCGAAAGCGCAAACGGCGAGTCGAGTCAGAGCAGGCCCCGCAAAGACGAATTACCTGAAGCGGCGGGGCTTCAGGCATCACCACGGCGGGCAGGACCGGCGGGTGGGGGTGCAGGCTGCGGCTGCCGGGGGCTGGGCCAGGGCAGCGCGCAAATTGGCGCGGCTGGGGATACTTTTGTCAGCGACCGCAGGCGAGAGCGCCAGCGGCAAGTCGAGCCAGAGCGGGCCGCGCAAAGACGAATTAACCTAGAGCCGATGGGCTGGAGCCTCACGCGGCACCTCGGCGGGCAGGCCGGCGAGTGGAGGGGTGCTGGCTGCGGCTGCCAGGGTAGCTGCACTGCCAGGGGTTGCACGCACACAACGAGCTGCAGAGGGGCCGATTGCCAGGGTGGCCGACTGCCGAAGTCAGCAAGCTGCTGAATTGGATGCAAAGGGTGAGCACCCGAGGGACTGCGAAGTACCAGGGTGGCCAGAACCAGGTGGGCCGAAGCCTCCACGAGGCGAACTGTGTGCGAGTGAATTGGCCAGCCGAGGCTGAAGCGCAGCCAAAATGGCGCGCGGGAGCACCACGGTGCGACCAGGGTGAAGCACCTCAGAGAAGGCACGAGATGCCTGCCAAGGTCTGGCGGGTGCAGGTGGTGGCGCCAGTCAAATCGCACACCCAAGCCCCGTATAAGAGGGGCGCAATCAGTGGTTGACCATCCAGGGCGGCGACTGACGCGAACCGAACATAGGCAGGCAAGTCGGCTGGCCAGAGCAAGTCGACCCCCGTACGTACCAAAGCCTGGGCAGCGCGACCAGTGACGCGCACCGCAGAGCCGACCCCAAGACAGCAGAAGGGCGGACGCCATCGCAACAGCCGAAGTCGCGGCAGCGTGGTGGAGCCACGGAGAAATGCCCAGGCTGAACCACGGGCACCCGTAGCCCCCACCCTCGAGGGGGAAGCGGCTGGGGATACTTTTTGGGGCCTGCGGCCACGAAGACAGCGGTCATGTGGCGAAGGCAACGTCCGGGCCACGGGCGAGGCGAACTGGCTAAAACAGAAGCGCGGCCGGCCAGAGCGGGCTGAGCGGCTGGGGATACGCGAAACTTCAAAATCACCCACCAACGCCTTGCAAGCCATGCCTCACGCCTCGGGTACGTCCCTCCGGCCCCGTGAGCCGTCCCCCGGAGCTCCAGGGCCGGACCTCCCGACCTCGATGCCTGGGGTCCGACAGCAGGCCCCCGATCCTACAAGCGCCTGGACGGAGCAACACACTCGAAGGGGCCCTCAGACACACAAATACGTACACACAAATAACAGGATTCCCCATAGTTTCCCATGTGTTCTAGGTTTTTGTCTTCCCCACCACTTCCATATGTTTCCATATTTTCCTGGGGATCGACGATTAGTTGTCTGTGTGGTTTTTTCCCTCCTGAACACTCTCTGGCAGCGCACCCAATAGCAGCAGAGCTGAGGGGGCGGGTCGAGGAGCAGAGGGTCGGCCGGGGATCTGAGATGCACGGGGGCCAGGGGCGAACGCACGATGATGTACGGCCTGGAGGCTACTGCACGAGGTGGTGGCCGCCTGGACCAGAAAGGAGGCCACCAGTTCAGGGCGAGTGCACGATTCCATGACTGACTTGTGAGGAAGTGTGACACGGATTCGCGATGCGATGGGCTGGGCAGCGTGCCCGCCCGCCTTGGAACAATCGTGACCGAACGCGAATTCCTCCTCCTGCAGGCTCCGTCTTCTCTTCCCCGCCCGCTTCCTCCCGCATCCGCCCTCCTCCCTCCTCCCCCCTCCTCATCCTCTGTCTCAGTCCCAACTCCACCCTCCTTCGTGTCACTCTCTCGTCTCCTTCCTCGTCCCCTCCTTCCTCAACCTCCACGTCCGCCTTGCTCCTCCTGTAAGCTCTCCCGACCTTCTCCTCCTCTCAGCATTGAGCTGGCTCTACCATTCCAGCCCTTTTTCGAATTCTGGGGCCGACGGAGACCTGCAAGGCGCTACGAATAACCGGCAATGATGCGTGCAAACGTCTTGGACATCTCCAGCAGCGCTATCCAGACGCCCTGGCTGCTTTGCCCGACCAGCCTGGTGTATATAGAATTGTTAGCGGGCATCTGGAGCAAGAAAGGCACGTTGTACAGCCAATAGGCGGCCGCGAGGAACCATAGGGGTGGTTCGCTACAACACTGGCAGCCGTACGCCAACATGTACGGGATCAACGTTCCGCCCAGCAAGACCTGCGATAATAATATCTGGCACCTGTCCTCCACCCCACGAAACAAACGCGGTGTGAATAATGCGGTTGCCATGCCAGTTACCCCCCCGCCGGCCAGCAGGAGGGAGTTACCGACGATACCGAGGTAGGGGTAGAGGCTCTTTGTGACAATTGGCAACGTCCACATCACCTGGAAGGACGACAGCTGCTCACTTACGCCGATCCCAGCCCAGCTCGTCTTGGGCCCAGCATCTGTGCACACGCCCTCCTGGCACAGCCAGGGAACTATGCAAACTGAACGACCGTGGGCCCTCAACGTGGGCCTGGCCAGGATCGGTTCATGCGCATACAGTCGGGGCGTTGACCTAAGGAACCCTACATAAGGAACGAGGTCCCTTTTTTCCATAAGTTAAACTTCGATTTCCTTTCGGAAACATAAACCTGAGGCAAGCTGTGAAACACTTGAGGAACGCGGAGCCCCTCCCCAACGAAAAGGGTTCCTTCTTCAGGGCCCCGACTGTAAGCTCTTGCCGCCCGATCACCGTCTGGTTGGTCCAATTGTTCTGGAAAGACAAGACGTACGACACGTAGGCGCCGGTGCGGCCGAGCGTGCCGCACACCTCCGCCAGCCGCGGCGCGGGGGCGGCCATGCGCGCGTGGCTCCGCGGGGGCTCGCGCAGCAGCAGGAGGCTCAGCAAGATGAGGCCATTGAACGCCGCAGTGATCCGCCACCGTGCCGTGAGGTGATTACTTGACTACCTACCAGACCACCCCAACCCAACCCGAAGACCCGAATTTGACCCGAATTTCGGGTCGGGGGGGGTACGGGTTCCATGTGTTGTTTCCCCATATCCTGAGATGGGGTTCTTGTTATTACTTGGACGCCTCCTACTCCCTCTCCCTCCTCCTCATTCCTCCTCCCCTCCTCCTCTTTCCTCATACTCAGACCTACTCATACTCAGACTTACTCATACTCAGACTTACTCATACTCAGACCTACTCATACTCAGACTTACTCACACTCAGACATACTCATACACAGACTTACTCATACACAGACTTACTCACACCCAGACGTACTCATACACAGACTTACTCATACCCAGACTTACTCATACACAGTATTACTCATACTCAGACTTACTCATACCCAGACGTACACATACACAGACTTTCTCATACACAGACCTACTCATACCCAGAGTTACTCATACACAGACTTACTCATACACAGACTTACTCATACTCAGGCATACTCATACTCAGACCTACTCATACTCAGACTTACTCAACACACATCAGATTTGGAGGATGTCTCAAGCGGGGCGCTGGTTTCAGCACCCCTAAGGGGAGCCGCCAGGGGTGTTTGCACGGGCTCGTTCGCGGCCATTTTGTGGGGATGTCTCAGGCGGTTTGCTTGTTTCTGGGCTCAACATCCTTCGCTTGGAGAGCAGATTGTGAGGATGTCTCAGGCGGGGCGCTGGTTTCAGCACCCCTAAGGGGAGCCGCCAGGGGTGTTTGCACGGGCTCGTTCGCGGCCATTTTGTGGGGATGTCTCATGCGGTTTGCTTGTTTCTGGGCTCAACATCCTTCGCTTGGGAGCAGATTGTGAGGATGTCTCAGGCGGGGCGCTGGTTTCAGCACCCCTAAGGGGGGCCGCCAGGGGTGTTTGCACGGGCTCGTTCGCGGCCATTTTGTGGGGATGTCTCAGGCGGTTTGCTTGTTTCTGGGCTCAACATCCTTCGCTTGGAGAGCAGATTGTGAGGATGTCTCAGGCGGGGCGCTGGTTTCAGCACCCCTAAGGGGAGCCGCCAGGGGTGTTTGCACGGGCTCGTTCGCGGCCATTTTGTGGGGATGTCTCATGCGGTTTGCTTGTTTCTGGGCTCAACATCCTTCGCTTGGAGAGCAGATTGTGAGGATGTCTCAGGCGGGGCGCTGGTTTCAGCACCCCTAAGGGGGGCCGCCAGGGGTGTTTGCACGGGCTCGTTCGCGGCCATTTTGTGGGGATGTCTCAGGCGGTTGCCTGTTTCTGGGCTCAACATCCTTCGCTTGGAGAGCAGATTGTGAGGATGTCTCAGGCGGGGCGCTGGTTTCAGCACCCCTAAGGGGAGCCGCCAGGGGTGTTTGCACGGGCTCGTTCGCGGTCAGTAGTCGACCGCTCATGAACAGACGCTCACCACGGCATGACATAAAACATGAGATGCACATATGGGGAGCTCCACGCAGTGAGTAATTCAACGTTCCCCGACTCCCCCCACTGGAAATGGAGGGCAAATTGAAGCCTTCGGGTTGGGTAGCGGTGGTTTGGTAGGTGGTGATTACTGAGAAGAGCGTCCTCAGGCCCCTAAGAAACAGCCTAACTCTAAGAAGCCTCCTGGCCACGATCCAGGAACGGTGGCGGGATGGGGCTAGGTCCGCTGCTTCCCTGTTGCTTGCAACGGGGTGCTTGGCGTGCCAAGGCTTAGCGCGGCTTGGCTTTTTAGCCGCAAAGTTCCCAGTGGGATCTCGGCTCATCCAGCCAGCCACGCGGACAAAACACTGGCGGGTCATACTCCATCGGCTTTCCCGCCCAAGAGACGTAAGAGGGCCTCCAAGATGGCCAATAATCGACCAAGATGGCTTCCAAGATTGCCTCGGCCTGCTTCCTCGGCCAAGATGGCCCCATGAGGGCCCAATACGACTCCAAAACGATCCCAGCTGGCCACCAAACTGCCCAAGATGCCCCGGATACGGCCAAGTGGGATCCAGGAGGCCCTTAAGGAGGGCCCGAAGAGGCCGAAAGCATTGATTTACCTTAGGTGCTAGAAGGAGTTGGGCGATTTGGGCGTTCTCGCCTTTCCAGGCTTCCCACAGCCGAGGACGGCTCCAGAGGCTTCCAGTGTAGCTCCAAGACTGCCCCATACGTAAGCCCTGAAGAGGGACCCAAGACAGGCCAGGACGGCAACACGATGGCGCTAGAGGCCTCCAAGACGGTACCAAGAGAGCCCGACGACTGCCCCAGAGACCTGCGAGACAACCCTCAAGCGCAGCAAGACGGCCCTGTAAGGCCCCTAAGACGGCTCCCGAAGGACATGAGACCCGAGAGGCCCCCAGGAAGCCTCTAGGAGGACCCAAGAGAGCTCCTCCTCTTTCTCCTCCTCGTCATCCTACTCGCTCTCCTCCCTCTCGTCCCTCTCTTCCTCCTCCTCCTCCTCCTCCTCCTCCTCTTCTTGTTCTTCTTCTTCGTTTTCTTCTTATTATTATTATTCTTCTTCTTATTCCTCTTCTTCTTATTATTATTCTTCTTATTATTATTATTCTTCCTCTTCTTCTTCTTCTTCTTCCTCCTCCTCCTCCTCCTCCTCCTCCTCCTCCTCCTCCTCCTCCTCCTCCTCCTCCTCCTCCCCCGAGTGATCCTCCAAGGGCTTCCAGACCGGCTGAGGGACCGCATAGCCCAGTGGCCTGGCCAAACTCTGGCTCAACGCTTGGCCACACGGGCGTGTGCAGGGAGGTAGGGAAGGGGAGGCGGCGACTCGCTGGAGGCGACTTCGATAACACCCGCATAATTGTAGCTCGTCATCTTCAGAGGGCCCACTGTTGCCGGGGGCAGCCGCACGCAGATCAGGTTCAGCAGGGGCGCAAGCGGAGCTACCGCCCTCTGCAGGCCGAACGTCATCGAGAACGCCTTGATGCGGTGCACCAAGGGCACGTGCTCCGCGATGTACGCGATGGCGGCGACGCTGGCCGCGGAGGAGAGCCCGAGGAGCGCCCTCGACAGCGCCAACATCGGGACCCCGCCCAGAATGGGCGCGGTGGTGTACAGGAGGCTTGCCAAGACGCCCAAGCCCAGGGCCCATGCGAAGACGCAGACGTATCTGATGCGCTCCACCAAGCTGCCGCACAATGGCATGCCCACCAAGCGCCCTGCGTAGTACGCGACCTGGACCCAACCATAGTCACTGGCATCTCCGCCGAGCTGAAGAACGAACTCCCATAGGGAAGGAATCACGATGGCATCATCCACTGGCACAGCCAACATCGTTAGAACCGTCACCGTGCCTTCGGCACGCTCTGGCGTGTTCGAATGCTCGTCTGCTGGGTCGGGTTTCGTCATGCTTCATAGGGCCGACCTCCCCCCCTCTCACCGCGTGTGTACTCAAAAACATGTCCCCCCAGGGTCTGCTCTCCGGTGCCTCGTTCGGCCTCTTGACGGCTCCAAGGCAGCAAACTGATGTGCCGAGAAGGCAGCAGAACGGCCCAACTCGATCCAAAGACGGCCCAACGAGCCCTGAGATGGCCCAAGAGGGTCCCAAGATTGCATCAAGACAGTCAGTCCAATAGGCCCCTAACACGCCCCAAGAACGCTCCAAGAGGACGCATAGGCCCTCAACAAGCAAGAAACATTGTTTGTTCCATCAAATGTTTATTGGTTTGGGCACGCTCACCTTTCCGGGCTTCTGAAAGTCCAAGACGGCCCAAGAGGCGCCCGATATCACACCAAGACAACCCAAAAGGCTCCCAAGGTGGCCCCAAGAGGGACCAAAAATGGAGAATTCGAAGTGGCCTTGGGAGCCTTTCCCTCCAAAATGGCCTGAAAGGTCCCCAGCATGATCCTGAGAAGGCCTCAATAAGGCCGCCACCTCCAAGAGGCCCCCCGAGGCTCCCAACCGACCCCAGGCCTGAAAGATGCCTTCAGGAAGCCCTGAACAAGCCTCCAAGGGAAGCCTCCAATCTATGCGTTCGAGAGGGATAAGGGATGAGAGAAAATCTGAGAGCTCCTCCCCTTCCTCCTCCTCCTCCTCCTCCTCATCCTCCTCCTCCTCCACAGGAGGAACGACTGGGGAGGAGAACAAGACTGTGGACAAGGAGGCTGATCAAGACCCGCTCCAGCTCAGCGTCCTGTCCGAACTGGAGCGGGATTCGAACTCATCCTTCCCTACTGCTGCGCTGCGTTGGCAGGACGGCATCGATGCTATCAGTCCCCTCCTCGTCTTCCTCGACTCGATTTCGCGTGGACGGGGGCATACATACAGTCAACCCGTATAATGAGGACGCTCGACAGGGATGCAAGGGCCTTGGAAGGCCATGCCGACACTTTGCGAGGGGGGCGCGGCCAGCGAAAGCGGCTAAGGATGGGCCGATGGGGAAGAATGCCAGGGTAAACTTAGAAAGTCGCTCATCCTTATTATGCGGACTGACTATACACGCAATCAAGAGAGGAAGATGAGAGGGAGATGGAATTTAAGACCCGCGCCAATTCAGGGGAGGTCCGGGAAGAGAACGAGGAGGAATGGAAAGGACACCGACAAGGAGGCTGCGGACCAAGGGAGGAATGGGGGGAAAGATAAGGAGTTCAACATCCGCGCCAGTTCCGAGAGCTAGATAGTCTGAGCAACAATGGGAGAATAAATGAAGCTTAACATCCGCGCCGTTTCAGCAGATCTTAGGAGTACGGGGGACACATCAGCTGGAGAGGACGACGACAGGGAGGCAGCGGGCAAGAGTCTGTGGGCCAGAAGAGTGCATCCCGAACCCGAACGAGTTCGGACAGGACACGGCACTGGAACGGGGTC